GCCGACCTATCCCTCACATTTGATGGTAAGCATTGCACTTAATGGACTTTGCGTGTAAATATCTAATTGGCTGCATTGGTGGTTTACTGGAAGTGGTTAGGTGTTATAAACAAAAAAAAAGGTGATGGGCAGAAACTGGTTGTGAGAGAGAGCACTTCCGGATATAGAAAAATAAGCAAGCCTAAGGAGGGGCTGTTGTGGTACAGTGGTAGAGTCCCTACCTCTGGCCGAAGAGGTCCACGTTTAGTTCCATCTGCTCAGCTTTGTTGTGGCATTTCTGAATAGATCGAGTAGAAAATTTCTTGGAAGAAACTGGTAATGAGTGCAGTTTATTCTGCTTGTTTTTTTTTGTAGTACAGTGGTTATGTTTCTATCTGAGACAGGAGGTCTGAGTTCAAGTCTCATCTGCTTCCGAGGTGGATAATAACATCTCTGAACTGATTGATTGATTAGAACATAACTCAATGTGGAAACTGGCGGTCTCTCGTGGAGGTGAAAAGGTTTAAAACAAATAAAACACAGGGAGGAGTTCTTCTGGTGCAGTGGTATGCCACTGTCTCTAAGCCAAGAGCCCCACGTTCAAGTCCCACCTGCTCCGGAGATGTCCAATAACATCTCCATAACAAGTTGATTTTTAGAAAAGTCCCATAAAACAGACCAAGCCCCTTCCAACTCCATTTTGAATTAGCTCCTTCCCACTCTCCCTCACCTTTTTTAATGGCTTGCATTGCCGCTTAATGCACTTTGCATGTATACAGTTGGAAATTCAGGTGATGTGCTAGTAGTGGTTCATAGAAGGACCAAAAAAAGCCGATGATTTATTGATGAGGGAAAAAATAACTCAGTTGTTTGTGATAGCACAGACCCAGGGTGTTTACAGAGCTGTTTCTCTCTGTATATCTCTCCTTCAATTCCTCCCACTTCCTACAGACAAAGGGGGTGGCCATGGGTACCCGCATGGGCCCAAGCTATGCCTGCCTCTTTGTAGGATACGTGGAACAATCCCTCTTCCAAAGTTACACTGGCCCTATCCCCCACCTCTTGCATTTCTGAAGAAGGGTCTAGATCCGAAACGTCAGCTTTCCTGCTCCTCTGATGCTGCTTGGCCAGCTGTGTTCATCCAGCTCTACACCTTGTTAGCTCTGTATATCTTGGGCTGCGACTTGCTTATGAATGCCACTTGCAGTGGCTCTATTTTGATGTTCAACAGTAAGTGACATTCCTTTCCTGCCAGGCTTCCTGAATTATTAAAATTCAAAAGGAGGGAAAAATTAGAGTACGAGAGAAGTTATCCAAAAATATTAAAACAGATAGTAAACATTTCTTCAGATATTTGAAAAGTTAATGAAGTAAGTCTTGGTCCTATAGAACCATTTCTGGAGAATTAGTAATGGAGGATAAAGTGATGACAGACAAATTGAACAGAGATTATGCATCAATTTTCCCTAGAGAGGATGCAAGTAACATGCTGGATAAAGCTGTCAATCAGGAATTGAAAGGAAGGGAGAAACCCAAGAAAATTACAGTTACCAGGGACGTAATACCGAATGAATTGTTGGAACTGCAAGTTGACAAGTCTCCAGGTCCTGATGGATTTCATCCTCTGGTCTTTTGTAAAAAAAAAAAATCATAAATGTTGATGCATTGGTTTTGATTTTCCAAAACTCATGAGATTCCGAAAAGGTTCTTTTAGTTTGGGTCCAGAGGAATTACCGTGACTCACTCCCCAGACTCTAATTGTACAGATCCACAGACCAGCCTAAGTAGCTGAATGAAAGGAACCAAAGTCCAGGAGATTGATAGCATATGATGCCCTTGACATGCTGTGCCAGGACCCCTTAACTGAAGGTTGTCTCCCTTGGCCTGACTGAGGACTATGTCCTGCAAACATTGAGACATGGCCATTTGGTGAATTGTGTGCAGCATATTCACTGTGAATGTTGCTGCCACATACTGCAGGTGTGAGATTGAAATAGCATGGTGCTGTGCAGAAACCTGTCCACTCCCTTGAATGATCACTGACATCCATTATAACTTGCCTGACAGAGTACGGAGAGCCTTTAGGCTCTGGCTGAGGGGGCAAAGTGCAAAAGGGAAAGGCAAAGCAGAGATGTTGTAAGCATCCAAAGTGAGCAAATGCTAAGAAAGGAGCCCTGAGCAGCTTGATTCTTACACAGTAGTAAATTGACAATATTCGCTTGTATTTCCAATGGAGTGTCAGCTCTGCCACCCATATGTCCCGAGGCATGTTTCTTTTTGGCTCCCTAATTGTATAGGGAAGGATAACTCCTGACTGGTGGGATTTGACCTGGTTCATGGCTGGGCTTTAAAAATGGTTATATGCTAGAAATCCGACAAGTGTCCTGGCAATGGTGAGTATACGTCTGCCTCTGGCAGGAGGAAAGATAGGCTGAGAAGGGCACTGTAGAGGTGTGATGAATAGCTAATCAGGTGAGCTGTGGAGAATAGTATGAGGACATTTATTGGGGTTCATGGACAGAAGCTGTTTGAGAAACATGCCATAATTGACACTTTGTCTATTTCTGGTAAATACGGCCGATAACGTTCAGACCTTGTAATATCCTGCATGTTTGTCAAGTAGTTTTGAAAAAAATTAAAAGCAGAAATGTTGGAAAACATTCAACAAATCATGTAGTTTCTGTGGAGAGTGAAACTGAATTCAGTTTTCAAATTAATTTTCATTGGAGTGTGTGGTAAGCTTTAGTTTTAAAAGGTGAATATATGACCGTTCTTATGAAGGAGAGGAACTTGACAATGTATAAGTCAGTTCATCAGAAGTTGTAAAAATGAAAAATAATTTTTGTATTATTTTTGACAAATCAGCAATGCATCACAAGGTTAAAATTTCATGTTTAGTGATAGGAAATGGACAGTCCATCCAAGACACAACTCAAGATTAAATATGCTGATGAAATATTTTACACATAACCATGTTGCTATTAGCTCTGTAGTCCAAACATAGTTAGTTACAAACCAGCAGTAATCGATAGCTGGCTGCTTATAGCAATAATCATGTGGAACAGGCAAGTTTGGGATCTGGTAGCAGATCAAACCATGAGTTCAAAGACCCTGTATCCAATGAATGTTTTTAGCTTGGGTATATGTTTGTATATTAGTTGCATTTGTGTACACAGTCACAGTTTGGAAACTGTGACTGAACCTATGTTTCAGTGTTTTTCAAGAGGTTTTAAATTGTAAATGCAAGACAGCCTTGCTGCTTGTCAGCTATCATAAGAAATGATCATAGATTACACAAGTCAGGGACCCTGTTATGACACGCCAGTAGCTAAATTTATCAAGGAGCCTATTTTCAAACCAGAGTTTTAAATTATGTTAAGGCAAGAGATATTATGAGAAGAATAAGTAAAAATTTAAGGTTACTGTAGATTTAGTCCCATTTAATGGTATTTGTTTACTTGTTTTATTAATTTTTTCAAAACAAATCTGCAGTAGTTAGAACCTGAGCTATAATCTGAGGAGTCAGTGAAGGATATGTTATATCCAATTAGCCAAAATACAGGGAGAAGCATTATCTTGACCCCTGGGGTTACTCTATTCACCTAGACACTGAGCAAGTAAAGGCACGTTACTGGGCATAGATAGTAAGGAGTATTATAAGTCTGAATCTTCTGTAAGTTTGGGGGAGAGATGAATATAAGAGCTCAAATATGTTAGACTTATTACCTGGAAATATTTTCAAGTGCAGACCAAAAGATTCAACTTGTGATTAATGATAGAAAGTGACTAAAGTTTGTTTCTTTTGTGAAACTATTGACTGTACTTTATGGGTGATTTGAACTGTTGAAGCAAGGCCAGTCAATAATATGCAGTAGTCTCAGTAGGTTGCTTCTTCATACTTATTTCTTACTGTTAGTTTTTTCCTTTCACAAATTATGATGATTACTTTGAATTCCTTTTAATATGAACTGTCACTTGAGTCTCCCTCAGATAAGATTTGTCTTTTTTAAACCAGAGTTGAAGTGAAAACAAAGAGAATGCTGCAACTATTCTGCATTCAGGCAGCATTGATAGAAAGACAAATATGGGATAAAAGAGGGGAGAGATTGAATAACAGAAGAATCAGAGTCAAGTGGATAGCTGCTGGCAAAAATAAGAACCAGAGATATACCTAGAGCAGCTTTGCTGTTGTTTGACAGCAAAATATAATGAAACCAGAAACATGCAAAGTAAAAGAGCAAAATAGGAACTAGAGATAATGAACCCAAATTATCTGGCCATCTGTATCTGTTCTTACAGATGTTAGGTGGTCTCATTACGAGCTTGGCTGAGCTTCAAGAGTCATTAATGGATCAGCCAATCGGGCCTGTTTATTGGTTGAAATTGAGCATTAGCTTTGATTGACTTCTTAGAGGTTATATTAAATTATTACTTCTTTGATCTGCTTTTTCATTGTGTTCATTTGGACAAGGGTCAGACGTGTGAAATAAGGTAAAGCTTCTCTCATTGCAACTATGAACAGCTCTGTCTGGTTGATATATATGTGGGAGGAAACATCAGTTTATTTCAAAGCTATTTTTTAATGGGTGTTTTTTGCATGATTAATTCAAGATTTTCCACTGTTCGTTGGCTCATAAGTTCTGTGTCTATTATACCCATTCGGTAACTAGGCATGAATGATGCACCAAGCCTGCAGTGAGGAAGACATACGGAAGGGGCATAGGAATGGATTGAGGGTGAAAGAATGCGTGGCCGAGAAGGCCAAGCAGCCTTTTATACAGTTGGATCAAAATCCTAGCAAATTGAGGCAGGTCTTCTCATCACTAAGCGCTTGCACTCTGTCTGCAGACATGTTGGAATTGATGACACCACACTTCTGCCTTCCTGAAATGCTTGTATTGTCCACGTCAAGCCTCTCAGTATTCTGCATAAAATTAAGTCATTACACTTTTAAGGTCTGATCTCTTGAATGATTGAAACCAATTGCAGTTTTGTTCAGTTTTATCTTCTTATTTTTACAGAATTTGTACAGTTTTCTGGCCCAACCAAATGCTCTTGTTCACCTTGATTTGTCGAACACTGACTGTGCGTTAGATATGGTATGTACTCAAGTTTCATGTGATTGATCTTTGCTATTTTAACTTGATAATGTTAATGATTAAGGGAAATTTTCTCACCCAGAGAGTTGTAGAGATCCGGAACTCATTTTGTGAATTGGAGCTAGAAACAGAAACCCTCATCACGTTGAAGAAATACCTAGAATTGCTCTAGTTGTGCTGTGACCAGCAAAGCAATGGAAAGTGAGATGAGGCTGCATGCTTATTTGTTGGCTACTGCAGATATATCACACTGAATCGCCTTCTCTTCTATTCATGCTGTGAGTGTGAATGTTCTGTCCTTTCAGCTTACTGAGTCTATGGAATTGCTAATGATAAGCAAATAAGGAAAATTGGAATAAAAACCGAAAGAACTGCGGATGCTGTAAATCAGGAACAAAAACAGAGTTTGCTGGAAAAGCTCAGCAGGTCTGGCAGCATCTGTGAAGAAAACAACAGAGTTAACATTTTCGGGTCCGGTCACCCTTCCTCAGAACTCAGGAATATTGGAATATGGCTTTCAGAATTAGTTACTGTTTTGAAGTTCTGATTTTACCTAGACAAAATATGGGCCAAAAGTCTATGTAATTCCAACCAATTCTCTCTTTTTCTAAATCCTTCTCACCCCTGTATAGGAAAAAGTGAACACCGGCTGGGATAGGGGCTAAGGTGGGTTGGTTTGGGGTTTGTGAAATTGCATGTCATGACCAGTGTACGCCATGCCTGTTGCCAATTCATCTCAACTGCTATTTTGCTAGTGATAGAGTACATATCGGGCTCCATGCCCACCTTTAGGATAGTTGAGGCCCTTGAGTGAATAATTCACATCCTCCTTTTGGTAATTGTTGGCAATTTGTCAATGATGCATCATGCCTAAACGATGTGTCAAGGCCACCAGATAAATCATATGCATAACACACGATCCATTATTGCAACACAGACTTGCACAACCTCACGTTCTGAATGCAGCTTCCCAACGCTCTTTCTCACCTTAGCACAGCTGTCCTGATATGTCTTAGGATCTAGCATCTATTACCCTTCTCTGCGGTGGGAAATAATTCTGCCCTGGCAAATAGCCATGCTGGCAGTGATGCTGGTAAAACTAGAAAACTGGTAGCCATCTAATTAGCCAGCAGTTCTGGTAGGTGAGACATCCTCCAATTTGGGGTGGAATCTGTGACAGTTAACGTCCTAATTGCCATAAAATCTGGGGTTGGCTTCTTGGCTATCTGGCCTGGCGGACACAACACTGGCTCAACCATCCCTTGTAGAAGTAGAGCAATGCTATCTAAAATTTCAGCTGTAGTTTTGGAAAAATTTCTTCATTCTCGAAGGGCTTTTGGTTGAATGCGTTCCTGTAGAGCTCTTTAGAATATCTTACCACATTAATGGTGGTATCATCACAAGTTGTTAATATATGAATATGAAACAGCGAAACAATTGACTTGTAATTTTACAACAACATCATGAACTTTACCAGTGTACAACCTTTCTTAATCTATGTACATTTTTGCTTTTCTTTTAGTCTCTCTCTGTCTCTCTCTCTCTCTGTCTGTCTGTCTGTCTGTCTCTCTGTGTCTGTCTCTCTGTGTCTGTCTCTCTGTGTCTGTCTCTCTGTGTCTGTCTCTCTGTGTCTGTCTCTCTGTGTCTGTCTCTCTGTGTCTGTCTCTCTCCCGACATGTCTGTCTGTCGCGCTCTCTACAGTTAAGTACACCTTCTCCTCTGATTACAGTCCCTTCCTACATTTCACATTTTTGATCTGTGTTCACTTGTTTGTTCTATTTTAAGGCTCCATCTCATATTTATTTCTGTAGCCACAGGTGGCATAGAGAGAGACACCATTGGTGATATCCAGATGGGGAGAAAGTGCATTGATGCCTAAATTAGTAACTAGGCAACTCTGTGCCATTTAGGGACCTTGAGTGACTGGGTGCAAGGAGGATCCATCTTTATGGATTTGAAATTACAGGATCTGTGATTTGACTGAAGTATATTCATATAGCGTATGCATCAGGGCTTTCACAAAAGTAACTAGATGTTTGGCTGGACACTAATCTGCCCACCAATTTGATTAATTTGACTTATCACATGTACCTAAGTACAGTGAAAACCTTTGTTTGCAAGCACTACAGGCAGATCATAATAAGCAATGACAAACAGGTCATAGGATGAAGAAAAACACTTGGACAGGACGTGTGCTAGGCAAGATCAACCTTAACAGGATCAGCATTATTTGAAGTTAGAGAGTCCATTCATCAGTCTAATAATGGCAGGGAAGGAGCTGTTGTTGAACCTGCTGGTGTGTGTTCAAGCCTCTGTATCTTCGGCCTGAGTGAATAGGTTGTAGGAGAGCATTACCAGGGTGGGATGGGATTTGATGATAGCAGCCTTTCCACGAGATGTGTATTTGGAGACCATGGATGGGAGGTTGGCTTCTGATGGCCTGGGCTGTGCACACAACCTCCTGTAGTTTCTTACGGTCCTCAGCAGAACAGTTGCTGTGCCAGGCCACCATGTGCCCAGACAGTATGCTTTCTATGGTGCATCTGTAAAAATTGGCGAAGGTCCTTAAGTACATGCCAAACTTCCTGAGCTGCCTGAAGAGGATGAGGCTTTGTCATGCCTTCTTGACTGTCACATCTACATGGGAAGTCCAGGATAGCTTGTCGGATATGGTCACTCCTAAGAACTTGACCCTCTTAACACACTCAACCTCTGCTCCGTTGATATAGAAGGGGATGTGTTCTCCACATTTCTGAAATCAATGATCAGTTCTTTGGTTTTGCCAACATGGAGAGAGATGTTATTATCATTGCACCACATCACCAAGCCCTCTATCTCCTTTCTGTGTTCTGATTCATCATTGTTTGATATCCGTCCTACCATGGTGGTGTCGTCAGCAAACTTGTAGATGGCATTTGTTCAGAATTTGGCAGTGCAGTTGTGGGTGAACAGGGAGTGGGGGCTGAGATTACATCCTTGGGTGGCTCCGGTATTGTGTTATCATGGAGGAAGTGCAGTTGTCAATCTTTACTGATTGCGGTCTATGGATCAGGAAGCTGAGGATCCAGTTGCAGAGGGCGGAACCACGATCTAGGTCTCAGAGTTTTGAAATCAGTCTCTAGTTACCTTTAGAGTAAGCAGCCAAATGCCCTTTTAATGAAGGTATACAAACTTGATAACCTTGGAAAACCTACCATCCATTAATAGCTGAACATATTGTTCTGCAATTTGAGGACAAGATGCTAGAGCCTTTTAATGAAGAAGAACCAACTGCAGTTGCGCTCATAGTATTCTTACCTACCTGTGTTCCAGAGTAAATCAATGTTTTCTTGTAATATGACATCAAATCTTAGTGAAATCCTGTTCAGCACAAGGTCTCATTGGACATTTCTTTTGTTCTGCTGAAATGTCTAACTGATTTCATGTTTTTCGGCATCTTTGCATTATTTCACCTGTTTAAAGGGAGTTAAATCCATGGGAAATTATACTCAAAGACTACAGTGAGGGTTCACAGGCAGTGCCTGTACACCCACCAGAATTGCCTGTACTAGATGGAAAATCATAGGCTGTGTACCAGCAATTTCTGATCATTGTTCTCTGCCAGTGCTACTCCCTGCTGAAAGCCCAGAGGGTGGAATTTATTCAGTTGTTAGGAGCTATTCACGGTAGTGTAGCCTATAATATAAACACTTTAGGAAGGAATGGAACATGTACTCTTTTGCACTTTTGTCAACAGCAGATTGGTTTCTCAGTAGATATGAAAATCATGCAAGCTGAAGATTGAATCCATGTGAACAGAACTTTTTATGTTGAATGTGCTATATATTACAATAAAAACAAAAGTATTTGAAATTATTAGGTCTGGCAACACCTGCAGAGAAGGCAAGAAAAAGTTAACATTTTCTGTTTAATAACCTGTAACCAGATCTGTTCAGTATTTCCAAAATTTTTCTTTCTTTCAAATTCATGACCTTTTGCTGTTCAGTGTAATTGTGCAAGTTGTATACTGTTAAAATAGATGCCTCCCTTCATTCTAACTTTTTTTTTCTCTTTCAACCATGTTGGATCTATAGCACTATTACTCCGTTATTCTCAGCTTGAAGGTTGACACATTGAGCTCTTTTCTTGAACCTGCAGGCCCTGTGTTAGACCCAAAAGCCCTCAGGGAGCGAATTCCAGGATTGCATTTGACCACTTAAAGTCCTCAGTTGACCCAAGGGTGGATGAAGTGACGGATGACCCCCCACCACATGTATAATTGTGAAGGTGACAAGGCCTGTAGATTTGATTTTAACAATAAGGCTCGAAGTTTATTTACCCTAAAATGAAGATAAGAGGATAAAACTAGGCTATATACTTATGACGCAATTGTTAAGATTTCAAAACACCTAAATAAAATCCCATCTGTTTCAAAGCAATACTTTCCAGTACTCAAATATCAGAGAGATTTCCCTGTCACATCTACAGGTTTGCCTTACCAGTTTGGTCTTGAACATTTGATAGCCTTTTTTCCTTTTTGAAGAAGTGACTAAGAAGATAAATTAAAGCAGAGTGGTGGTAGACGTTGTCTACACCGCCTTTAGCAAGGCCTTCGACAAGGTTCCGCATGGTAGACTGGTTAGGTCAGTTTAATCGAGGGAGGGCTAGCCAATTGGATACAAAATTAGCGTGATGGTAGGAGACAGAGCGGTGGGGGTGATAGAGTTGAGGCCCATGACTAGTGGTGTGCGACAAGGATTGGTGCTGAGTCCATTGTTGTTCATCATTTATATAAATGGTTTGGATGAGAAATAGGAGGCATGATTAATAAGTTTATGAATGACACCAAAATTGGTAGTATAGTGGACAGTAAAGAAGGTTAAACACAAAGAATGCGGATGCTGTAAATCGGGGACAAAAATAGAAATTGCTGGAAAAGCTCGGGGTCTGGCAGCATCTGTAGAGAGAAATCAGAGTTAGTGTCTCAGTTCGAGTGACCCGTCCTCAACTGCAGAAGAAGG